CCTGTTATTGATAATGTCTTGGGTGGCGTTTGTGATAACGTTATTGATGGCCTGCTCGGCCGCGGTGGTAAGCCTTTGCTGACTGGGCTCTTGTGCGGCTCCACTCGCTAGAGCGGAGCTCGCCTCAGCGACAAAACCCGCGGGCTGATTCAACATCGAGCCAATGTCTTGTTGAACCGCCTGCTGCATGGCTTGGGCAGCTTGTGCCTGCTGTACAGCCTGCTGTACCGCCTGTACCTGCTGGACGACTTCGTGCGTTGCCTGCTGGACGGCTTGTTGAACGACCTCCTGTGTCGCTTGGGAGCCGCTGGCGCTTCCTGAGCCGCCTGGACCTTTTGAACGGCTTGCTGAACTACTTGGGCGTGCTGAACCACTTGTTGAACGACCTGCTGCTGGGCCTGCTGCACGGCTTGGACCGCCTGTTGCTGGGCCTGAGCTACAACCTGGAAACGAAAATTACCCCTGTTACAAGCGATTTAGATTGGATTTTGAGAGTTGTGAGAATTAATTTTTCAAACATATCTTTCAAACAAGGTTTCAAACGCCTCGTTATTATTAATTATATAAATTACGGGCCGACATAATAATATTATGTATACGCGTACGATGAGATTAGTCTTCAAATATAATTGCTACAGATTATATTATATTATATTAAATATAATTGCTACTATCGATTATATTATTAACATACCTCGTTTCACTCGACATTTATCGTATATATAAATAGAACTTTTAACTCTACTTATAACGCTAATAACACACTTCGGCGTTAATAAAATGTCTCGTACTCTCGAGGCTACTTTAGTGCGAACGGATGATAGTTGCCCATACCCAATGGAACATTAAATAAAACTAAAAGCTACTTGACAAATCAAACCGATAGTTGAATAAATAAAGCAGGGCCAATCGTGTATGTGACTCGAGCGCACCTGTTCGACTTGTTGTTGGGCCTGGGCGACGACTTGTTCAACTTGTTGCACCTGCTGCTGCATGGCAACTGGATCTTGTTGGGCTAGTGCTTGAATAGCAGTAGCAACATTTGGCATGACTTCGCTCGTTACTTGCAATGGATTATGCGAGCTTACGCTGACGCTCGGATTCACATTAACGACTGCGGCAGCCGCAGCTGCACTCACAATCGGCGACTCCTGGATGCTCGGCATTAACGCAGCGTTTATTGTTTTAAGCAGGCTATCGTCCGCGGTACCTTCTTGCACCTGAACTGGCACACTCGTTACGGTGGCACCACCGTCGACACTATTAAAAAAAAATATATAAATAAATAAAAAAAAAAAAAAAATTAGAAAAAAACAGAAGAAAAAAATGAAAGAATGAAATAAAGAAAATCAGATAAGTATATTTTTTGTGCTTTTAAAGTCCTAGGCACTTGTACATACCTTAATGATGAAACATTCGTAGTTGGCATAAGAGCTTCCAAAAGCATCGTCTTCACGGGAATAGGTGGACTGGTCCTAGTTGATTGCTGGGGGCTATTAAGTGAATCGTGATCGACAACTGACGTTACATGATTAATTATTGCGCTTGGACTGGAGTTCGTAGGTCTGAGAGGTGAAACCATTTGATGGGAATCGACGGCCGAATTAACTAATTCGTCGAGAGGCACTGTCGTCGTCCTGGCGGATAGAAGGTTTGACGATTGTTGCTGACTACTCGCTATTATCGAAGCTCGTACAAAATTCGCTTCCTGTGATTAATAAAAAATTTTTAATCATCAATGGATGATGGCCAATTTTTTACTATCTATTTACTATAAAAGGGCTATCACTCTCACTCTCACTCTCACTCTCACTCTCACTCTCACTCTCACTCTCACTCTCACTCTCACTCTCACTCTCACTCTCACTCTCACTCTCACTCTCACTCTCACTCTCACTCTCACTCTCACTCTCACTCTCACTCTCACTCTCACTCTCACTCTCACTCTCACTCTCACTCTCACTCTCACTCTCACTCTCACTCTCACTCTCACTCTCACTCTCACTCTCACTCTCACTCTCACTCTCACTCTCACTCTCACTCTCACTCTCACTCTCACTCTCACTCTCACTCTCACTCTCACTCTCACTCTCACTCTCACTCTCACTCTCACTCTCACTCTCACTCTCACTCTCACTCTCACTCTCACTCTCACTCTCACTCTCACTCTCACTCTCACTCTCACTCTCACTCTCACTCTCACTCTCACTCTCACTCTCACTCTCACTCTCACTCTCACTCTCACTCTCACTCTCACTCTCACTCTCACTCTCACTCTCACTCTCACTCTCACTCTCACTCTCACTCTCACTCTCACTCTCACTCTCATTCTCACTCTCACTCTCTCTCTCTCTCTCTCTCTCTCTCTCTCTCTCTCTCGTTAACAATTTTCAACTACTATTTAAAATTGAAATACGATAAGACACACACGGTAAAAAAAAAACCAGAGCCATTCAATGCGGGGAATAAATGTACTGTTAACATTGTAATTTCTATTTAAATATAGAAGCTATTTTTAAAATACGAATCTTTGCAAAGATTCTGTCAATATTTGAATGTGTTATATTTGTTTAAATTTAAGGTATTTTAAAGAATGTAGGGTGGGTGTAGGTTGAATATTTAAGATTGAATGTTTTAAAATGTACCTGGACATCGGTCTTCTTCGGTGCCGTTGACTCAATTTGATTAAGATATTTTTCGATGCTATGGCCACTTTGAGCAGGCAGTGGCTGATCAGCAGGAGTCGCAGCAAAACTACCCAAATTACCATTACCGATGCCATTAAATTCAGATTGATGGTGCTTCATGCGTAGATCCACAACACCCGGACTTTGCATGCTGCCTGAGATATTTGCCTCGTTAGCCATGATTGGACTGGCATCTTTGTTGATGTGATGAGGACTTAAAACTTTTACCTGCGACAACGTTCAGAAAATTTGCAATTTCAAAAATATTATTTTTCAATTTATCGCATTAAGATATGAATTAGCTTCATTAAATTTTCAAGCGAATAACAATTTTACCTGCGTCTGTTCGTGCAGTCCCCTAAAAGTTGACTGTTGTGACACAATGCTTAATGGATGCTGGTTGCGTATGAGATCAACAACGCCCATCAATGCTTCCTGTACTGGTGAGCCATTGCTGGATACAGTATTTCTAATAAGATTGTTCTGTGACGAATCTCTTGAATTATCGTTCATCAGCTGATCGAGAGAACCGGCTGTGGCGTTGTGCGTTGAGCTCGTTATGCCCGTCATACTATTATCTCCCATCAGGCTGCTTTCGCTGTTCTCGTCGAGTACCTCGGTTTTTAGGTTATCCGGTAGGATTAACTGCAGACTCGAGGATGATCTCCGTGTCATAAGAGGATTGGCTACCATGTTTGGCGGTGGTGGCATCATTACGTCCGCTGCATTACCCTGGTTATTGGTTGATTGAGAGCTCCATAACATAACCGGAGTTACGGTGGATGCAGCCGTGACTGGCGGTGGGCTCGGATCGTTCTTTAAAACCTCTGGATTAACGGATGCCACCGAGGCCGTACTCGGTGATTGGATAGATCCGAGGAAGTTAGCTGCAGCGGAGGCCGTCGATGGAAGTAGACCTGGATCGAGAAAAGTAACGGCTTATTTGTCTATAATAATTATAATATTAATAATAATATTGAATTCTTTGCCCTGCAAATAGAACTTGAACGCGAATAACTATAACTCGAGCATTGTAATTTGTTTTTTCTTTAACACGGCAGCCCTTACAAATATTTTCCCTAAAATTTTGCCTGAAGCAAAAAAATTCATACTAAAATTAAAAAGCTTACCGTTTGTTGTGACGTTTCCGGAAACGACGAGAGGCGTGGAAGGCAGTTTTGAGGTCAGAACAGTGTCTGCATTCGATGCAATTAGGCCCCCGGGTGTGTTCTCCAATTTACCGATCGAGGGTGTAGGTGGGGCCGAGGTGGCAGTATAAAGGAATGCATGTGGCTCGCTTGTCTTACCCGAGGATACGGCATATAACTTGATACTTATGGTTTCCGAGGGTGCGAGATCCTGTCGGCTGTATGCCGGCACTACGCAGACGAGATGCGTCTGCTGCAGGAACTCTTTGTCGGGTAAGACGGTGCATTCCCAATGAGGCTCGAGCGACGAACTGATATTATCGCTATCGAGCTGGAAGACTACACGGGTATCCTTTAGGAAATTTTTGCCCAGGATAAATAGCTCGAGTCCACCGGTGCATGGACACGACGTTAGAGATTTCTTGCAGATTTCTGGTATACCTGGCGGCTGAGCTATAAACATATTTGCTTTTAATATTTCTTTAGTTTTTTTATTATTATTGTTTTTTTGTTTTTTTTTTGTTTTTTTTTTGTTTTTTTTTTGTTATTGTTCTTATGCATTGCATCTAAAATAAAATACACGCTAACAAGACATTCATAAATTCTAGTTACTATATATATAAAAAAAAAATAAAAATAAAAAAGAAAATAGTTAGCTAGATATTTTAATGAATGTATTGAACAAGGAGAATTTTATTAGTTTGCCAAACTTGGTTAAATATATCAAATATGCATTAAAAAAAAAATGTCAATCATTGAAAGACGTCTTAAGATATTAATCGAATAGCTAAATAATAAACTCGAGCCTTTTAAAGATCCCACGCTATTGTTTTGATAAAATAATGCTGAAATTCTAAATTCTGATTAGCTAATTAAACATAATTTTGTACATCTTGCAAAAAAGGTTAAATTACGACGCAAATACGGTATTTATCGATTAAGCCTTGGAATTCAAATGTCAATTACGATTTTCAAATTTAACATGGAATTCACATTATCATTAAGCAATGAATAGAACCAAAATTTTTCTCAATAGTTGTAAATAATTTTTTTAACGGCATAAAATGTACATAAATAATCTTTTGGCATTGCAAAGAATTATAAAGGTTTTAAAAGTCACTCTCAAGAATACTCGACTTTACAAACTATCCAAATTTTTAGCTTCTGGCCCAATAATCGATTTCGCTGTTCATTCGTCACGGCCAACTAGTCAAGAGAATAATTATAAAAATATCGTTAGAAATTTTTGTATCAAAGAGTTTCGGCTGAGGAGGCCGAAAGCAATTGTAGATTAAAAAACGACAAAAGTATTAGTTAAACTTACTGCAAACAATAGGCTGCGAGCAGACCTGGAGCGTCTCGTGAGTGCCGTCGTCGTATGTAACGGTGGTACGAAAAACCATCCTACATCGCGTCGACTTCTTTTTACTGCGTCCCTGCAATATGCCTGCCTCCTGTGGGAAACGATGCTCCACATCGACATTGCGCTCTTTAAGTATCCCGACGCAGTCGCACGTTACCAGCATATCCTTAGCTGGCTCCATATCGACCTCGATGACGATCGTTCCATCGACTTTGCGTTCGACGCACGGCGTCGAATTCTTACCACTGACGCGACAAGCTTGATAGAACATGTGCGGGGCGACACGGCCAAGGTCCGTTCCGATAAACACCTGAGTCAATTAATAGAAACGCTTCATTGTAATATCGAGGCTTCGAACATCGGGGATGAAAAAAAAAAATAAATAAATACAATAAAAGACTTTTTGATGCTTTAAGTAGTCCGGCTACCGATTTCTCCGACAAATTTACCATTTACCATTGATAATTAGCATTCTTATGAAGATGGCAATTTTACGATGTTACACTGGCGTACTAACCTGGAGAGTTGCTGGCTTGTCATAGCCCATTAGACGGACAATTGGAAATCCATTTCCCGTGCGATCTTTAACGGCTCCTCGCGAGCCTTCGGTTTGATAACGCGCACGATGCTGCTGCTCTGGCTGGCAGATGATCTGCAACTGTGTTTTACCGTTTCTCGATACACTAGCTACAATAGGAAATCGAGGCTTCGTCAAAATATAAATAATCAAAGAAATAAAAAATTCGTATTATTTAGGGCTCGATGAGGAATGCGAGGCATAATATTGCCGTAAGGTCATTTGCGCTTTAAAGGAGGATCCGCGTCTCGAACGCTTGTTTCGGAATTCACAGAATTAATTGGGAATGATTGGTGTTGATGGCAATTAATATAAATGAAGCACACTTAATAAAACTTAATAGGCTTAAGGTCTTTTTAAAGACTTTGATATTAAACATTATAAGTGGTACTTACAAAGCTGGGAGGTTAAAGTAATCGGGCCTTGATGTACCGGTGGCCTCTTGGCTAATACACCAAGATGCGGCCGCGGTCTTGTCACGCCAACCACTCGTCCAACCGATCCATTTATATTGTTATTTGTCCGAGTAGTTCCCACAATTCCATTTCTCGTTGAAATTTTGCCTTCGCTTTGCGAGCCCTGGACTACTTCCGGAAAAGCAAAGTTTGCATCCTCAGATTCGAGTTTAATGTCCATTTTACGGCGCTTTGTATCCTCCTCGCCGGCACCTTCGTTCCACGCCTGCAATAATATTCCATGTTATTAGGAAATTACATCGTCGACGACAAATTCTTATTTGTACTTCCCAACTTCGAGTAGACGAATTATCATAAAACGTTAAATTACTTTTGAGGTTGCAAATAAAATTAACTCCAATAAATTTGTGTAGTTAATGCGTGGTAAATAAAAGGCTTATTTCAATTAAAATTTGCAAATAAAGTTAAGGATAAGAAAGAATTTAGAAACATTTGCGGAATTTTTTTTTTCTTCTAGATTTAAATAAAAATATAGATTTATAGTATTATATTACGTTATAATTAGCTATTATGTATATATTGCGTGGAATGACATGTAGCTCAACAGTCGCTGAAAATTATGTTCAATTTATAGAATGTTAATTATGATTGTTTTGTTTTTATTTTTTATTTTTTTAAATTCTTTTAAAGAAACAGCCCGCTATTGTAACAGAATGTCACGATCGATTAGGAATAGATTAAGAATTTTAAATATCAATGCATAAAGTATTATAAAATTATATAAAAAAAAAGAAATAGTTGCCATTATCTGCCAGAAACTCCGTATTGTTTTTTTTTTTGTTTTTTTTTATTAATTTTTTTATAACATTTATTTATTACTATGAACGATTGCAATTAATATTTTGTCTGTCATATTAAACGACGAATCTTAGCTTTATATATTGCATTTTAATAATTAATAAATTTCATTTTAATGTTTCAGTTTTTTCAAATACTAGTTAGTAAATGCAATTATTTCAAATATTTGCAATGTTATCACGTTCGTGCACTTTTATTTCAATGATTATATGATACGTAATTATCGATATCTGCATGCTTTAATTTTAATCAGCTATAACAATTATTCATTCTAATAAATGTTGCTTTTATTTATCGTAACTAGTTTGCATCATTATATTTATAATATAGCACGATATACGATTATATCGTATATTATAAATAAAACTTGTCTTTATAAGAGCGAGTGTAAGAAATTAACGAATAGATGATTCTGGAATTTTTTTTCACAGATAATATTTCTTAAAGGCAATATTTGTACTTCAATTTCATAAAATAATTAAATAATAAAAAGCTCAAAAATTATTTTATATTCAATTTAATACAGATTTAAATTCTCATTTAAGTCATCGTACCAATGAAATTAAATATATCTATTTATTAAAACTGATTTAAAAGAAATAATAATAATAATAATAATAATAATAATAATAATAATAATAATAATAAATTATCATACCTACGAGCACACGAACGTATAAATTTAACCGAGACTCTACATTTTATAATAACCATGTTTCCAAGAATAAAATAGAGCAAAAAAATCAAGATTACTTATCATCTGTAGAAGAGGTGACAATTGCTTTGGATTGGAAAGGAAACAATTTGTGACACGACGAGGTTTGTAAAGATAAACGATACGGGTTCAACTACCGTATGCTTCACCGCAACGAGATGTACATTATAGTTCTTCGGTTTACATTGTATAATGACTTTGCTTAAATGTAGTTTTAATTTATAATTCAATATGCAGAAAAATACCTTAGGACTATATTCTTAACGTCTAAATACTACACAAATTTACCATAACATTAAAAATCAATTTCGGCTATTAGAATATTATTAGATATAATGAATTTAAAAGTATTATGTGAAATAGAATTTCTAATTTTAAATTAAAATTTCACGTCACATTTGATATTCATAATTAATACAAATTACTAATGTTAAATAACTATATTACTATCAAATAAATTGACGTATTTATATTAATTTTTATCAAATTTTAAATTTAGTTTAAGATTTAGATGCAAAGTTAAATTAATTTATATTATATAGTTATACAGTTCTATAGTTTATATAGTTAAATCATGTTTATAGTAGAAAATATTCTCTACTCATTCGCAAAAATATTACGAACAATATTATATTAAAACATATTTTTTAAAACCATTTATGACAAAAGCATTCCCACAAGTATGTTTGTTCAATGATAACCTGTAGTTTTTTTTAATCATCATTAATGTACAATTACACATAAGAATATCTTTATGCTTCGAAAAGACTTTTGTAAAACTATACTTATTCGAAATTAAACCAGAAATATATTTATTAATTACTTGTTTTTAAACAAATGCAAAGTTTTACAAATTTTTTACATGCACACATCATATATGTATTACATCTGCTTAAAAACAAATAACGAATAAATTTATTAATATTCCATATTTATTACTTCTTTTTATGTAAATATAAAGTTATATATACAAATATAAAATATAAACAAATATGGCTTAAGTCAATAACAATAAAAAGATAAAAAATAAAAATAAATTATTTAATAATGGCATCCAGTTTTACTAGTAAAATTACATTGCTTGAGGTACTTTAATGATTGCTTTATTTCGATAATGTTTGATAATATTTAATTCGCACCAACTTAACAATATTAATTATTAAGCCGTTATCTTTTGTATTTTCTAAATAAAGTAGTTTGATTCGTTAATATGGCTCAAATAAAACGTTGAAGTATATTTTGTATTTATCTTGCAATATCATTTTTGATTGTCTATTATTTTATCGATATTGACATTGTTAAAATATTATGTACACGGTGATAAACATATTCATAAAATTATATAAAAAATGTGTTCAAACTATTTAATAAATTATTTTTCAAATTTAACTAAAAATTTAAGTTTACTATATCAATCAGTATTAAATAATTATTTGCACATCCTCTATTTGATAAATTAATTTATCTATGTAATTAAATATTCGAGAAAAACTATCTTACTAGGCCTACGATTTATAATTTCAAAAGCATCGTAATTGAAAATATATACAATATCAACATAAAATTAGTATAACTAGGTTATAACAAAAAAAAAAACAAAAAAAAAAAGGAAACAGAGTTTATTAATATTGAATGTTAGTATTAAATAAAAATTTCCTTTTAGGCTTAGTCATTTTTATTGTCCTATCAGTCAGAGAATTTAAATTAGGGAAACATAAAACATGTTAAGTTCTATATTAAAGTGTCTATTTACAAATAAATTCTACGAAGATCTTTCATGATGATAACGATATGATTTTAATTAGGTGGATATGAACAATAATGTTTAAATATGTGAATTTTATAATAAACTAACGAGATCATTTACTATAACGATAATGAAGATAAAAAGTTTAATAATTGTATTTTCCTCATACACTCTTTAACAAATTAATCGAGTAAATCACGTATATCAGCCACGTCTCTTTCTCTCCCTCTATCTCTATTTATTTCTTGCACTCTTAGTGAATTTGATTACATTTCCTCCTACAGGACATATTTTAATGAGCAGTTAAGATAAAAACAGTACCACGAAAGTAACAATGTCAAGTCATTAATTAAGTCTGTGACAAGTTTGTCTGATACCTTTATTAATTAAATACCTATATTATTTTAATCAGATATATTAGTAACTCTTACTTGTTTTCAGTAAATCAGCTTTCATGAACTTTTTAATTGACAGAATAAGACTTTCAAAAAAATTTTTGTACGTAAGAATTTTATATTAAATTAAACGCTATACTTAATATGATTAGTTATTAAATATAATTCAAACTTCGTGTTATTATTACTAACGCCAAATAAAATGTTAATAGCATTATTAGGCTTTAATAAAAGCTAATATATCAAAAGAAAAATTATTAAAAAGTGCAAGTATATTAATATATTTCACATACGTCCATCAGAATACAATTATGATTGCAAAATATATTGCTTCATTTTCCATTACATAGTTTAATTGCTTTCATTGACTAGCAATATGCTAATATCGCGCGCGCGCGCACACACACACGCACATAAATTTTAACTTTATTTTAATAAAAATCTTTGTTTTACATAAATGACACGCTCGCATGCGTATTTAATTAAAAATACATATCATAAATATAAATATAATAAAGATAACCTGCCAATTTCATGATTATAAAATGATAATATAATTATTCGCGAGGAAAAATAATTGTAATAAAAAGAAAAAATTGGTTAATTAACAGTATAGTAATGAAAAAATATGCCGATCTAAATGCAAAGGGCAAAATATAGTTTTAAAAAGTGAGAAAAAAAAAGTAGGGTACATGAAGATATATGGGAAGCGATTCGAATATCATGAATGAGAGAAAAATAAAAGAAAAGGGCAAAAAAGTAAAAGAGATAATAAAACGAAATGTGCCAGCGCTGTAAATAATGGCAGTTAAATGTGAAAGTAAGTATATCGACTCAATGTTTGTTCAATTAAAATAACAAATTTTGTAGAAGAAATGGCATATATATGCAATTATATAGTATAGTACAATATTGTATACGAAATAATTGAAAGTGCGAGAAAGAAAACCAAAGTGAGATGTAGGTATAGATGACTGGCTACAAATGTCTAAATAGTGTAATGTTATAATAAAAATATAGAGTATCTTGAAAAATATTTTGAAAAACAGAAAATAATACTAAATATCCGGTTAATATGTAAATCAGAATTTCATAAAACAATGAAAATTTACGAATAATATAAAAAAAAATGAAATATGTATGATGAAATATTCATAAAAAAATTTTTATTGGATTTAGAAAATAGAAAGGAAATTGAACCAAAAAAAATAGCATAAAGATATTAAATAAAGATTAAGATTAATAAAAAAAAAAATACAAATACAAATACATAAGAAAGCAGTAAATGCAAGAAACAAGAAAATATAGATAATAATATGAAAGAAAAGATAGTTAATTTATTAATTTGATAATTTGATAAAGAGAACAAAAGAAGTAGATAATTGATCATTTTAAATTCAATAAAAAATATCTAATAAGAAGAAGAAAAAAGGCAGACTAATAGAGACTAGGAACATAATATAAGGATTAATGATTTATAACAACATACGGTTGGGGTATCAAAGTGAAAGCATAATTATGAATAACAATCGATGAAAGATGCTATAATAAAGCAAAATTAGCAAAAAGAACGAGACTATATTAATTTATAAAATATTTATAAAAGTACTGCAATGCCCGATTTTACTAATAATTGAGTTAGCTACATAAAATGTAAGTGATTGTGCCTACGTATTGTATACACTTGTATTTCAGCATATTGCAATAATAATCAATAATTAATAATTAATTGACTATAGATGAAAATTCTCCAAACAGCATTGTATAATATTATTATTTGCTTTTAATAATTATAATAGGAGTTTAATGCATAGTATTTAACTTAAAATGAATGCTATTTGAATAGGCCGATTAGCTGAAAAGTGAAGGGGTTAAATAATACATCAATATAGCAATTGCAATTAAAATTACACAATATCATAATTAGTACTGCCAAATTATCAATCGAGTTTAATTAATTGGTGCGATTTTCTGAATGATGGACGAATCAGATTCTTATAAATTCTGTCTAAATTGAGTAAAATGCACATCGCGCATCAACTTTATTTACAAAAGCTTTGCTCCCAAAGCAAGAGGACGCGTTGTTTTAAGGACTTTTTTTGTCTTAAGAGAAGTGGTTAAATGTCGTCTCTCGAATCAAATAAGAAATAATTTTAAGAGACTTAAAGTCTACGGCATAATTACAGCAGCTTTGTTGAGATGTTGCTGTTGACGCTCCTCGAATCCGAGGCCGGAGTCGTTAGAATTGTCACAAAGGTCCTGTGTGTTGTTTCCTGCGGATCTTGTGCCGAGTTGTTCATCCGAGCTTCTCAATCCGCCTGGGGCACGGTTAATCAGCGACGAAGTGAGCGGAATTCTCGCTTGGTTACGATGATGGGCACGTTGCACTTGTGTTTGCTGTTGCTGCTGCTGCTGCTGCTGCTGCTGTTGCTGTTGCTGACCAACTCTGCTGCGAGTGTTGGCTGTGTGTGTGGGGTTATTTTGGGGCCGACTCGAGGAAGCCGGTCCGCTATTGGCTGAGCCGCTGCTGTTCCTCAAGTTTGCCCCGATCACTGTCGACGATGAGATACCTTCCGTGACGTCTGTGCTAGTACCTGTGTAATTTACAAAAATTTACATGTAATTTATATTCGATACGTATTGCTTTAAGAAGCGCATAAGCGCGTACGATACACGCTCAATTATTTAAAAAGTGTATAACAAATTTAATCATGAACAATGATATAACATGTCGAGTATTTGGCAATTTCCTTAAGAGATTTGACTTAATAAGAATCAAACTCTGTATCTCTACAGATGGAATTGGTTTATTGGTTTGTTTTCTTAGATATAACGATGGATGACAATTTAAAGGGTACATAATTAATTAAAAGCTACTGCATGTGCTAATAAATCAGTTAATAATAAGAGTTGTACACAATTTTTTTATAGTTGGCACTCAAGAGAGAATCAATATTAAAAAGCTGTTTCGAGTAATATCATTCATCAATAAATTTCGGACAGTTTTGAAATATGAAATTTTTCAATTTATTAGGTAAGAGCATTGAATAAAGTTCGGTAAGTACGAGGATAGAATAGATCTTATTGATCTTAGTAACCCTATACAGCTACATAGATCTTATTAAAAAATCAATTATTTCTTATTAATGGTCGATGATGTTCAATTATTAAGAGACTAATATTAATTACTATAAAGACTAATCAATTTATTTTACTTCGTAGCAACACTGTTTACGTTAATTATAAAATCCAATTAATGTTTTTCATTATTATAATCATAAATGACAAATGGAGTCAAGTAATATCTTGTGAAATAAAAACATGAAACTTTTCATTCTAGCCTTAGACTTCTTACTATTAAATGAATAAAATCACGATGGATAAGAAAAAAAAATCGAGACTTGCTTTATATATACAAAATAGAAAATTATGAATAGAAATATTTTTTAGGACTATTACTTACAAATTGTTTAATTTAGCTTTCGGTGTAACGAATAAAATATAAATGATCTTTCAAATTAAATAAGACTCTTCAGAATTATTATGCATTATATATATATATATATATATATATATATATATATATATATATATAAATAACACTCTATAAATATATTATATATTATATATATATATATATATATATATATATATATATATATATATATATATATTAGGATGCTAAATACTAATTGAACAAATGTATTTTTATTCAAAAATGTTAAACAGTCAAGGAATACCTATTGTTAATTGGATGCATTCAATGTATTATTTATCCTTATGTAACCAACATTAATTAGCTTTCTATCGATTTACATTATAACTTGATAGTTTAAGTGAACAATGATTTAAACATTCATATCTACTCATTAGTCCTTCACCCACTGTCATAACGATAGATATAGAATATTCTCTCAAATATCTTTATTAAATTAATTATCGAAATATCAAAATGAACACTCGGTTCAAGTCAATGCAAAAGCTAACTTTAATTAACAATAATTTATAATTCAATAAAAATTAAAATTTAAAATATTCTGATATATACATACATATATATATATATATATATAGATATACGTGTACATTTTGATTGTGAACTTATGAAATTTAAGAAGTATATGAAATTACAAAATTTTAATTAATTATAATGTTATACTATTCAATAATATCATTTAATAATATAATTTAATAATATCAGATAATATGAGGATACAAATTAATGATCCAATAATTCAAAACTGTGTATACCTTCAATCATAGGTACGTGTAAATAATAATTTTGCGTTAGTCGGTATGACATTATTCGCAATGACAATGTGATTTTTCGAATTTTTTAAAATCTAATATTACAGATAAATGAAGCTTTCTGAACTTGTAGTATAAATATCAATGTAGATTTGTCTAGATAAATCTTATACAATATTTTCGTATAAAATATGAATTATTACTAAACATTTATTATTGGATGATGTAATAAATTGTGAAGAATAATATATTCACAATAATATATGTGAATAATGAGATCATTCGTTTTTTAATGCGTTTTCGACAATAGTAGTCTACACAAAATATATTTATATTAATGATATATTTTTAATTTGAGTATAATATGTCAGAAATATTTAATAGATTATAAATATCATCTTACAATATATACTCATCCGATCAATTGAGACTTGGAAATGTCTCGTCTGAATCAATCCGTGTCAATACACACCTTGTGAATCTTATTCGGTTTATTGCTATTTTATAAGCTAAGAGGCTTATTTTATTTTTATTATTATATTATGCCTTGAAAAACTCAATTTTTATAAATTCGAAACAATTCATAAAACTCGTTTTGTTATGTATTCACATTTTCATGTTATAATTTGCATTATTTTAAAATTATCGCTTTAAACCTGTTTATTAAAAAGGGTTTAAAGACTGAATTTTTTTTATAAAAATTGATGCTCTGTATAATAATTTTGTGTTTAATTCAATGATAGTAGCAATTAATTATTTGTTAATTGACAACACATTTATAAACATGAAAAAGAAAAATTAAAGATATCTTCTATAAAATATAAAATCATACTTTTACAACATTTAATACAAAAAGGTATTATACATAAAAATTACAATTTTTTAAATAAATAAGTTTATAAATAAAATAAGACAATTGGACTTAAATATAATTTCAGAAAACTTACAATGTTCTCATGAAAACAATACGATTTAATTTTATAACTCAAGAACCCTATGGAGTAAATGAGAAAGAAGCAAGGGGAGATATAATCATTGTTCATCAATCAAGCTGGGAGTTTGAAACTACAGTCGAGATAAAGTCAAATGTGTGTGCGTGCGTGCGTGCGTGCGTGCGTGCGTGCGTGCGTGCGTGCATGCGTGTGTGTGTGCGTGTGTCAGAGATAGAGTGAGGGGAAGGGGGAGAATGGGGGGGGGTAACAAATAAAGAAGCAATAGGCGTCAGAGGAAGCTAAAGAGAAAAAGGCAAAATGAAAAAATTGATACGGAACGAGGCGAGAGCTCGATCGCCGTCGACGATTTATTTATAGAAAAGCGAACGACCACGACCACTGCGGTTAAAGTAATTACGAAAAGGGGTTGAGAACTATTCTAGGCATACGCGCACACATACACAACGCGTGCGTAAACACATACATCGAAATAATGGGTGCGGAGTTACCTTTTCCTAACAAGGGTGTAAACAATGTAGAACAAATACTGGTTACCAAGCTTTACGGGATACTACATCGTATTAGTGTGATTCGCGAGGAAAATTACGGAAGAAAGTCAATGACCGGTAGATGCCAAAGCCATTTCTTGAGTGTCTATGCAATTGCACTCGTGTCTGCTCTCTTTTTCTTGCTGTTTGTTTTACATAATTTGCCTATGCTTACTGAAAATGCACCGAGATGAAAAGTCATGCTCACACATTTTTATGAACAGCACATATGTGAGCAAATTTTCATCATATGGTTAGTTGATTTTTTTAATAAATGTCACAATTCGCCAATGTGAAAACGCCCGTATATTAGCATATTTCAATTCGTGTTCATCGACGATAGCATATTTCAAGGGAACAAACGAGGACGTAAACAAATTTTGTCGACTGAATACGGAATATAATTTTTTTTGTATTTATAGAGACGAAATTGTAGTTCCTGGTGACGAAGATTTAAAATAAACGCATTATTACATTTATCAAAAAGTATTTCAATTTTTATTTCAATACATTAAAAAAAATATATATTAATCATGCTATAATAGCAGAATTATATAGCTTAAATTTATATAATTACAATAAGTATTTTATTTTTATTTATAATATTGTAATAATTTGTGTAAAAATGCGTTGGAAGGCCGGTTATGTTACTTACATTTTATTTCATATTTTTTCATTTATCGCCTTTACTGTTATTTTCTATGAGCTTATTTATAAATGAATAATAAATATAAAATTAAAAGTAAAACATTATTTATGTTTCATGATACAATTGTCGTTCAAGAAAAGTATACAATTTTTATTTATTTTCATCAGAAATTGTAATTCTTATGAGCAAACATATCATGTACATTCATTAAAACGAAACTACTCAATTTAATTTGTTCTTTAAATTAGCGTATGTAAGAAGAAAAAATTTTTTAAGAAAATAAATAAAAAGAAAAGACAAAAAGGGAATCGTTCAGAATGAAACAATTTTCTTAAAATGTAATTTTAAGTATTGAAATTTTTATTTTGAATAATTCCTAATCGATCACATCATTATGTTATTCGTATAATTATTATAATTATTATACTCATTTATCATAATATGAGCTCGTTTCATATATTGATATTCGTCATAAGATATACGAGAAAAAGAAAAGAAGAATCTAATAATTATTTCATGCTTCAATTATTGTAAATCAATAGTTGTGATATGCAATTCAGAATAAAAGAATAATAAATAAAAAAGAAATTCATATTAAAAATCCACTGAATGTAAAAATTGAATATAAAAAATTTTAAATTAATATATTTAAACAAAAACATCGAAACATAATATTAAACATCAATTGTAAAAAAAAAAAAAAAAAAAAAAAAAAAAAATTTTTGAATAAATTTTTTTTTTAAATATCTCATGAATTATCTGCCAATTAAATTTTTTGAATTTTCACCATATCAATATACGATAAAATATAATTCACTAGAAGCAATTTCAGATAATAGAAAAGAAACTAAAATTTCACAACAAGAAATAATTAATAGAATAAATAAACCGATACATATATACATAATTTTCACCAATCCATTTACGAGTAGATAATTTACAAAATAAATAATGGAAAGTTTGAAATCAAACAGAGTTGAGAAGAGTAAGTGAACAAGATAAAAAAACTTCTAGCTGTATAACTGAGAAAAAAATTATCACTTGTGTCCCCATGCAGCGCAACAAATTATTTCATTTAAACGTCATGCGAAAATATATGAATCAGTGATTATAAAATATATGAGGATGGATGACATAAGTTCATCGAAGTTCATCGATCTCGCGTTTAAACACCTACATATACACACATATATTTTTCAGTTTTAATATTAATCCTA